CAAACAGGCTAGCTAGTACCTTAATCTGAGTTGGTGATGACATCCCACTTCTCCACCTTGAGGGGCAGTATTATGTTTGTCTTCTTCCAGTTGCAGTTCCAGGATAAGCTCTTCACACAGTCTTCTATTTCAGGAAACCTTTTTTGGTTCTCCCAGTTCTGTGTTACTGTTCTTTCCCACTGATAGTAATGAAGTGGAAAAGTGGCACTTGTCTGAATGAAGCTGCTTCAGAGAAATGCCCTGCAGAAATAACTGCTTGATTTTATTCCCTGGTCTCTATCTGTTGCTCTATTGCTGTGGCATCCGAAGTCCTCTGAAGACACCAAGCCAAATCCATCTGGCTGTGTGACTACCAATACATGTACATCACCCTGTTTGTATAAAATATGCCACTGAGCTGTGTAGCCTCCAGGCTGCCTAACGGCAGTTCAAAAAGTAGCTGGAAAATACAAAGGAATGGTAGGATGAAGAGAGATGACTCTTGGCAGTTTCTTTGTTTGACTCCAAGGTCCCAGAATTCCAGCAGCTTCCAGTAGGCATTCCCTGTGGACTGCAAGAATTAGCAAAGACCCGAGTGGTGAATATTGCAGCATGGGGTATCTATTCAGAAAGTGGCACAGTCAATTCAAGCAAGTTCAGAGATCTGTAGACACAGTGACTAATAAGGAACTTATCTCGAATTTATAGTGTGGATGCACTTCAGTTTATAGCTAATTTGTTGCACTGAAAATGAACAAATTAACCCACTGTAACAGCCATAGGTGGATAAGCTGCAATTCACTCATATAAATTCAAGATACTGTATCCACCCTTTACATAATTCAACCCACATTTTCAAGTTCAATTTTAGAGAAAACAGCTTCTTCCTCAAATATGATGATATTCTACATTTACACATTCAATGTTTCTTTAAGAGTCAGCTGAAAATTAGGCAGATTGTGGGGACCTAATTATAGGTTGATGTGGTGTATAAATAGAGTGCAATTTTTCATCCTTTTTGACCTACAACAAGGTTGACTAAAAAGCAGAGCAATACAATACCTAAAATTTAATATGCAAGGTCTCAGTTCAGAAGAATATTTTGGAAAGCTAATCTGATTTAAATCATTTCACTTATGTCTCTAAAACATTGTGCAGGAAAGCAAAAGTCATTAATGTTTGTGGTTTTACCTAGCACCTTGCACACATAATATAAAAATATTTTAAAGCAATATTTGAAGAAACTTTACCCCATAATGTGGATTTACACATATAAACACTTAAAGAATTAAAGTGGCATGTAACATCATGCATTGATCTAACAATGAGAAAAATACCAGCATAAGGAGGAGGGTTAAAGGATTAGATGTTGAAATTGTAATTCTAAAATTTTTGTTTTTCTAGGTTTAGGTCCTGCTGTTATTATTAATTTAAACATTGCTTTTTTGTCCTTAAGGGCAATATTCTGTCTTCAAGATGGCTTTTATTGAAGGAATTTCTTTTGTGGCAATTAAGCTGGAAATACATAGAGCTATAGTTGTGGTTATTTAATTAAACACTTGGAAAGTTTACTTTAAGTAACAGTTAAATTTTGAAGTTTCCAATAAGTTATTTTACCACATTCATCTGAGGCTTTAAATACTACGCTGCATTCAAGGAAGACCATGAAATTACAATTTTAAAATCCTGATAAGAATGGATTAGTTTTGTACCATTTTTAGATCTCATTACAATTTTTGTTGCAGGCCTAAGACTACAGATTGAGTATAAAGTATATTGGGCTTTAAATTCAATGATAAGTCATTGTTAGGACAGAGAATTTTGTGATAACACAGGCACAAGATTAATCCACTCTGATGACAGCCTTGCAAGTCTATCAGGAGCAGAACACAGCAAAAGCTTTATCCATCCTATTGACAAGGACAGTAAGGAGAATGGGAAATGGAACAAAATCAGTCCATTTGCATGACAACTTACGTCTATAATCATATAGTTCCACTCAAATCTTACAGTAATGGACCATAAACAAAAAGCATAAACAAGACACATCATTTAAAATGATACTATACACCTCAACATTTCATGTCTCAGTGTGGAAAGCATAATCAGCAAATAAAAATTAATTTAATCTTAGCTGTAAACACAGAGGAGGTACACAGTACACAAAGTTATGCAAGTTTTCTTCCAAGTTTTGAATAAATCGAACTTACTGTATATTCACAAAGATAATATTCGGGGGATAGATCCTCAGCTGACATAAATCACTCAAGCTCCATTGCCTTCATTAAATCCTATGTCTCCAAGAAAGCCCTCTTCTTGATGAGGAAGCTTTGAAAACCCTGAAAGAATGAGGTTTGGCAAACAATGTGAAATATGGATGTGCTAGTTTCCCATTCTAAGTAATCCCTCTAAATTTAGTGGGTTTACACAAATATGCATTTATTCATGTGCGTAAGAGTCTGCAGAATTGAGTCTATAGCATTATAATGGGGGAAATTCTAGTTTGAAATCTAGTAGGCTGCCATGACATCATTTGAATGAAGAGTTAAACAAAGGTTGTCCCACATATCATAAATATGGCTACACATATACCTGATACGTGTAACTGTTTTACTTAAATAACTGAAACAGTACAAACTAAAACATAAACACCAGATAAATATGATGTCGTCACTGGGAAGCTCTTAAGTACTTTGCCTAAGAGTCAAAATTAGAGTTATTTTAATTTAGTCCTGAACCTTTGCACTTTCACTTCTAAACAATGGAATCCCAGTTTAATTTCCTTTTCACTTCAGCCACAGACATTTCAATGAAGGAAGTCGTATATGAATATCTGCACGTCTGCAAATCCTTTCCCTGCTACCCCACAGAGAAACCCCTGAACTTTAAAACTCTAGTCTATGGTGTACTCAGTATTGATTATTTCACATACATAGAACAGAGGTATTTACTGGAAATAGTTATCTTAAAATATTTCATCTGAGAATGTTTGATTTAATTAAGGAATATTTCAGTTTTTAAAGGACTAAGCCAGCAGAGCCACATAGGCAAACCATCTATTGAGTCTAGCCTGAGTAGAAGCCGTTCATTTATTTAATAGCTGGCCTGGCTCTCAACGATCTTCACTTACTGAACTACCATAAGACTTATTTTAAATATGTATTTCTTGTTGCTTTTCCAGCATAATGCTACAAACAGCAAGTGATCACTTTCAGTCCTGATTTTGGCAATCAGGCTCATAACTAATCAAAACCTTAGAAGTATCATTCCAAAAAGTTTGGGCAATTTCTGAAACTTCTGAAGGAGTCAAAGCATAAATTTGCTGAGCTACTATTAAAAGAAATTTACCTTGAAGAACAACAATTACATTAGAGGTTTGGGTGATGATCAGCAGAGGTGAAAGTTTGTTACAGCTCCCCTCTGTGTTGCAGAAATCAGCTCATAAGGTTATTTAGAAAGCTAAATAAGGGCTGATGGGCAGAGCACAGGAAAGTAGGGTTCTGTCCCAGTTCTGCAGTGTGAGTGACCGGGTAACACTGGGACAACTACTCAGCCTTTATTTCCTCTGCCACTTTTTTATCTGTTTTCTTTTATAATAGAAGAGTGTTTGTCTAGTGCCTAGTGTGACAGGGCCCCAGGCATGGCTGACGCCTCTCCAACCTACTGTAACACAAATAATAATAATTTTCATGATAGCTTTTCTCTCCATAGTTACTAGTGAATGTAGTACCTAAAGTGGTTTGTAGTACACACAGTAATAACAACAGGGACAAATCAGGTTCCCCCCATGAAACTTTCATTTAGTTTTGTACCTATCCAAAATCTAGCTATACCTCATCATTTCATAGAGTTGAAGTACAGAAAATACCTTTATAAAGATATAGAAAAAAATCCTATCATTTGTACTGCACCCTTATGCCTGTAAATCCCAGTTCTTCACTGATTTACACCATACACTGCGAATTGGTTTGTTTCCATAGTGTCAGCCAAGACAGCTTCGCCCTATAAGTTCAGGGTCCCAAAGGTTACAGAATAAAGAGCAAGGTCTACCACAGTTTCTATAGCAGTGGTTCTCAACCTTTTTAGACTCAAAACACCCCTCATTGGGTTCAAGGCACTCCTCATTAGGTGCTCATACCTTTTACTTATTTTTTGACTGCAGAAAAACAATAGAGCACTTCTTCTCTTGTAAAAAAGACTCAGGAAGACTACAACAGGTCAGAAAGTCTTTAACACTATATGGATTCCTATTTTGAACCTCTGGGTTTATCTTGTGAATTATGTTTGCACACCTAACAGTGCTAACATTGCGTGGCACCCCACAGCAACCTATTTGAGAATCACTGTTCTATGGTGTGAGCCTATCTAATGTAATAAGGAACAAACTTTGCAGATTATTAGCAAAGCTGAAGCAGAGTGAATATGTATAATTTATTTTGACTTATCCAGAAAATTTTAATAAAGTCCTTACGAGATGCTTTTAATATATTTGTAACCATCTAATGAGATTGTGTGACTGATCATAAACTAGTTAGAAAATGAAAAGAAAGAACAGATAAAAACAGTCTGTCTTCAGCTGTGTAAGAAGTTGGTTGTGGGCTCCTAAGGATCTGTGCAGGAGCCAATCTTTTCCATTGTACTTGATTACAAAATTTGTAATTAGTGAGGTTCACCTTGTGGTTGTTATTGGGGTTTTTTTCCTACAATAATTTATTTTTAAATTCTGAATTGTTTTGTGATTTATGAATTTCTTCACTGAATAACTCTCAGGAGTTCTCTTATGTGCTAAGTGCACTTAGCACATGATGATAAGGCCAAATATCTTCATAGTGGCCAGAGCTGTCTTGTATACAGGAACTCATTCTGACACAAATCTGGTGGAGATGGTTCTGTTGCTGCCATCTTGGCAAAAAGGAATGGCAGAAACATGTTAGATGTTCCAAAGCAGGCTGGGTAAATAGGGTTGCAGAACTCTCCAAGGATAGGGCATAAATTAGGTTGTGTCTATGCAACTGTAGCTTCTAAGCTGAACACCTATAAACCAGTGAACCACAATCAGTTCTTTGTGCTCCCCACCCCTTCCTCAATCTGAGTTGTGCTCAGGCAAGCAAAGAATTATGCCCTTAGCATGCAGATCATTAATGAATTGAACATATTCACTGTTTATTTGTAAAACATCTCATGGCAGGGCCCTAAAATACCAGCATATTGTCTGGATTATAACGCCTAAACACAGTTGGCAACATTTTTAGACTGTGGGTTGGAGTGACCCAGTTCGCGTCAGAGGCAGGACAGTTCACAGACACTAGAACCCAGCCACTGTAGCCACTCTTCCCTGTGGTGGCACAAGGAGAGTGCCTGCAGCATTGTGGTGGCATGGGAAAGCAATTTCTGACAAGGACCTCCACTGCCAAATGCGACCAAAGCCCACATCCAAGGACAGATCAAATCCTTCCATGGGCTATATGTTGCTGACCTCTAGCCTAGAAGAACAGGAGGCAGCATGGTATAATGAGCTGTGCACTGAATCAGGAGTGAGAAGCTGAACTCTGGCCCTCCTTTTCCAATGGCCTGCCATGAATTCTTGACCAACTCATTCACTGCCCTGTTTTCCCTCCCACCCTTTGTCAGCATGTCTATTTAGACTGAAACGTTTTTATAATGAAGGTCCAGCCTTGACAGAGGTGTGGAATAAGTAAAACAAATGTTAATGTTCTAGTGAAGTACTTTCTACACCTCATCATTCCACCATTTTCATGGTCTTCCCCTTGGCCTCTTCCCTCAATATGCCTGCTCAATATTCGATACAGTTTTTCATCAGTATTTTCATGTGTCTAAACCACATCATCTTTTGTTTTCTACTCGGGCTTCCACCTATCCTGATTCAACACGCTTCTTACGCCATAATTCCTCACTTGGTCTCTTTTTGATTTCCCCAAAATTGCCCTTAAACAGCTCATTTATGACATCATTAAAAGAGGTGGTTCCTAAGCATGTCTACACATGCACCCGACTGCGCAGTTCTTACTGTGCAGTCATTTACTATTTGCTTTAGCTTTAGCAAGTACTAAATGACTGCACAGTAAACATCAGTACAATGCAATAGGGGTGTGCAAAGGGGGTCGTATTCAATTTGGATTTGGACAGATTAGGGGGACAGTGTTTCAATTCATTGATTCGGATAACTGTCCCAATTCGATTCTTCCAAATCCGAATCTGAAGATTCAACGCTGATTTGGAGAATCAGTGATTCAACCATAGACACATCTTTAAATGTTTTTCCTACAAACCTCGAGGTTCCAGGTGCAGCTCGTGAATGCTGAGATGGTGAGGTAGACGGAGCATCCCACAGGAGCACAGTGGGGCCCCCACATGCTCAGCAGTAGACCTGGAAGTGGACTGGAAATACTTCCAGTCCACTTCTGGGTCTGCTGCTGAGTGCCCGGGGACCCACCCCATGCCCCCTTGGCTCAGCGATCAGCTGGGGGGGGACACTGATTGCCCCCCCAGACCCAGGAGGCACCAGTCATTGAGCTGGGGGGTGGGGTGGGAGATCCCCCACACACTTCACAATGGATCCAGAAGTGGACTGGACATGCTTCTGGTCCACTTCCGGATTCACTGCTGAGCACACTGGGGATCCCCCCCCACCACATTCCCATGGGATGCTCCATCCGCGCCCCCATCTAACCATTCACAAGCCTCCTGGTACCTTGAGGTATGTAGAAAAAACATTTAAAACTGTGTCTATGTCTGAATCACTGAATCTCTCCAAATCGATTCAGTGGGTTCTGATTCGATTCAGAAAGATTAAAGGGTCTCCTGATTCGATGTGGATTTGGAGATTTGGCTGCCAAATCGAGCCAAATCTCTGCTGAATTGAATCAGCAGCTGAAGCTTTGCACAGCCCTACTGTGCAGTCCCAGTGCTGCATGGGTCATTTTCAACCCTACTGCACAGTAGCAGTGGCATTACAGTTTGTGCCCACTGACACTACGTCATTGTAGCGACAAGCTATATCACCATAGCTCATTGCTAAAGCAACATAGAATCTCATGTAGATGTGCCTACTGAGAAGTAATTGCAGCAGAAAAATGGTGCCAAGATAGGAAGCGATGGTAGAGTCAGCATATTGCCAGATCCATTGAGAGGCTCCAATAGCCAGTAGTCAAGTTCCTGGCTTTCATTATAACTAATTTGAAGTGATTTGGTTGTATGAAACAGCTATTAAACCACTTGTACCTAGCTGATATCAAGTTCCTCCTATATGTGAAGACCCATGGGTACCACACAATTCCTGGAAGGAGATTTTAGCATCTCACAAGGTCAGGGCATTTCC